CAGCAAAGCATACCAGAGGGATAAAAAGAATCTAGTTCTAATTATAAAACTATAAACATACTGGGTTATTGGTGTTCTAAAGATAAAATTATAAAATTAAAATCAAACTAAATATTGAAGAATAAGAGGAAATCAAAAAATTAGGTTTTTTGTACCTCGAGTTCAGAAATCGTTTGCCATGACCCTAGAGGCTTGATGGCTTCATCGGTAATGAGATTTTGACGCAGGGACAACTTCTTCATATTTGATAGCAGGGAAATCCGAGAGTCTATAGCCGACAAACGGTTTGCTGTCAAGTCCAACTCGGAGAGACTAGGGGGAAGTTCAACGTCGTCTAGATCATGAAGCTGGAAGCTGGTGAGATCTAGGACGCTTGGCAAAGACGACGATTCATCGTCCCTTGCCATCGGCCGGTTAGTCTAGACTGGATGTCCCGGAGAACCGAGCAGTGACGGAACACGTGGGATTGTGAGAATCTAAAACAATTTTCTGGTTTCGACAGCAGGTTGTTTCAATTGGTGTTTGTGGTTCCTTGTAAATAAAATACTGAGTATTACACCTTCCCATAAAATGCCAAGCGGAGTAGCGTAGGCTTTGTTCCGAAAATCCTGATTGAATTTTTTAAGTTTTGATTTAATTGGGTCTAATCTAATCTGATTGGGTTTGATCTGATCTGATTGGATCTGATCTGATCTAATTAAGTCTAATTGGGTATGATTTGATTGGGTCTGATTTGATTGAATGTGATCTGATCTGATTGGATCTGATTTTATCTATTAGATTTGCGTAAATGAATTTAAATTTGATTTAAAGTAAACTTAAAATTATTACAAAATTTAATACTTTTAGAGTATTACAATTCATATATACATAAAAAAAGTAAAATAAGAAAATCAACTAATCATTGATATATTTATTTTTTTTTGAAATATTAAACATCTTTTCAATATCACTACTATTTAAATTTTGGTGAAAACCAAATAATCAGAATTAAAATAACCAAATATTAGAAAACATAGATGCTATTTTACAAAAAAATATACATTCTATATGCATATAAAATCATAAACACTAATATTCATTTTACCTCTATCAATTTAATCATAAACTCACCCTTTTATATTTTATACTATCTTAAAGTTTAAAAGTAAGTCTTTTTAAATATAACATATTTATGGTTTTGAAAACTAAGCTTTGTATAATTATTTTATAAACAAGTATTTTAAAATAACTCTTTTTTAAAATATGAAAAATACAACTTTTTTAGCTTAAAATTGCTTCCATGCATCATTCCTACAAGCTAAGCAATTATTAAAAATAATGGTTTGTAGTTGAAATAAAATAAAATAATAATAATAATAATAGTATCAATTAAGATTTTGGCGTGTATAGCTTTAAATAATGTAATGTGATTTAATCAACAAATAGTAATCATTATTTAATACTTGAAAATTATAAATATTTTTTATATTTTTCCTAATTTGATATGGTCTGATCTGATTTGATTGGATCTGGTCTGATCTGATTAGAACTGATCTGATCTGATTGGATCTGTTCTGATCTGATTGAATCTGGTCTAATCTAATTGAATCTGATATGGTCTAATTAAATCTGATCTGATCTGATTGAATCTGATCTGATCTGATTGGATCTAGTCTGATCTGATCTGATTTTAATAAGAATAAGTAATAAGTATAAAAAATAAGTCTTACGGAACAGACTCTTACTCTGTTTAAGCTTTAATTTTTAATGAAACAGAGTAGCCAACTCCGCTCCAAATAATTATTTATGGAAACCAAGTTGTCAACTCCATTAGAAACGGAGTAGCCAACTCTGTTCCAAATAATTATTAATAGAAATGGAGTACCCAACTCCGTCTCTCATTAAATCAATTTTTTTTTGTTCCTCAATTTTTCGTCAATTTTTGTTCCTCAATTTTTTTAATCAATGTTTGTTAAAATAATTATTTCCCTTAATTTCTCATTATTTCATAAATAAAATAATTATTTATTGACTTTAAATAAAGCACCATACACTCAAATTAAAATAAGAAGTAAATCACAACAAATTTATTGATCGAGTACATATAATTTATTAATAAGAATAAGGTTACAAAATACATGTCATAACTAATTTATTTTGTGAAATTCATAAAACATAAACTTAGACATAATTGAATTCCATGATATAGCTATTGTTCATTGCGGCACCGCCGTGGTCGGTAGTCCATGTTATTCGGATAGCGAGTTCTTGTAGGTCGACCGGTTTGTTTCCTCGTTCGTGCAGTTGGTCACACTATCTCGTATCCTGGAGTAGGCTATTCGGCCTCATCGGGAAGCAGCATTAGGATGCCCGAATAAGCGTTGATGTAGGGCTGGATTGAAAAAACATTAGGAATCAAATGATTCACGGTGACACTACACTGATGACATACTGCATGGACATGAATGCACGGAATGTGATATATTACACATTCTCCACAGATACATGTTCGTGCATTTAAAGCCACCGCAAATGTCTCCCGATGGCCATTGTTGGAGGACCCATCCACAATCACAGAGTATATCCCATGCTGTGGGTGGTGCTGCACAACACGATAATAAAGCCTATTTTCTTCATTGTTCTTGATATTTTTGTTGGTCTTATGGCGGACCATCGATCGTCCTTAGGGATTCGCTACTGTGCTTAGCACGGTATCGAGTATCGACACTCCAACCTGACGAGATACATGAGTCGTGTATCTTGCGAAGCCCCTCATGTCCATCGCTCAGTAGTGGGGCTCCACACTGTCGTAGTGAATTATAGGGGATGCCCTATAAGAATCTACCTAGGCTAGGGGCTACAAAGAGTTGTGGTTAAATACAAAGTGTCCACCTTCCTATCACTAATTGGTTTTATGAAGCACTTGGCACCTCTTTATTTTTCAGAACTGTAGTTAAGCGTGCTGGAATAGGAGTAGTCTCAGGATGGGTGACCCACTGGGAAGTTCTAGAAAAATGATCCTACAAGTGGTATCGGAGCGAGGAAGCAGACTCGAATCCCCCGGGTGTCGCTGGGAGGAGATTGTTGGTCTTATGGGAGACCATTGATCACCCTTAGGGATTAGCTACTGTGCTTAGCACGGTATTGGGTATTGACAGCCCAACGTGACGAGATACATGAGTTGTGTATCTTGCGAAGCCCCTCATGTCCATCCACCGCTCAGTAGTGGGGCCCCTATAAGAATCTACCTAGGCTTGGGGCTACAGAGAGTTGTTGTTAAATATAAAGTGTTCACCTTCCTATCTCCAATTGGTTTTAGGAAGCAATTGCCACCTTTTTAACTTCAGAACTCTATAGTTAAGCGTACTTGAACGGGAGTAGTCTTTGGATGGGTGACCCACTAGGAAGTTCTAGAAAAACAATCCTATAATTTTTCCACACATTCATAGGAAAATTATACCCAGATTGTTAGCACAAATATCCATTGGTTCGCTTATCCGCAAAAAGCTTGACCAATTTGTCATAGGTGAACCTCACAATGGCAAAGACGGGTAAACAACGACATTCCTTAAGGACATTATTGAAGCTTTCTGACGAATTTGTGGTCGTTATACCATAGCGTGGGCCACCTTCATCATGGGACAATGCCCACATGTGTTTTGGAATAGCCATAAGCCAGTTGTAAGCTTCTTGTGGTATTTTAATTGTTAAAAAATGAAATGAGAAGATCTATTGTTGACAAAGAAAAATGGCTATTGGGAAGATCTATGGGGGGACGGAGAGAGTATACAATATATAGTATATTTAATTATAGGTCAAATATTAAAAATGGTTGACTAAAAAGAGTCAGAACTTGACAAATACGGAGTACTCAGGGATGAAGGTAAAACTTAATAAAATTATGCATGATTATATTATAGTGAAATTTGCACTAAATAGGACTAAAACATAATGACTTTCCTAATGTAGGACTTAAACTTTTTTATTCTCTAAATAGGACTTAATAATGACCTAGTGGAAGGAATAATGTCCAGCAATGATGGACATTTAGTTGAATAATGATTACTTGATAATGACAAAAGGTCCTACATTACGAAATAAAAACATATGGTCCTATATTCGGAAAGTCATTATGTTTTACTCCTATTTAGGTAAATTTCTCTATATTATTTTATCAAATGATAGATTAAAATATATAAAAAAAATACAATAATTCAACGACATGAATAATAAAAAGAATCAATTGGGATAAAGGGAGTAATCCTTATATTTTACTCTTATATGCAGAAAATTTCACAAACAATAATTCTCCCAAGCTTAACTATATATCGTGAATTGCTTGCTAATAACATGTGGAATAATAGTATTTGTATTTAAATAAAAATCAATTGGCACTGCGGTAGGCCACTTTTAATTAGATCATGATGTGGAGCATGTTTGAAAGGCTGTCTTCTTGTTCGTCCAATGCCTCTTTTTCTTGATCCTTTACAATAGCCTCATCACTGCAACACAAGCATGTTTGAAAGACTGTCATTTTGGCATTTAATTTTTCTTGGTCAAAATTTATAAGCTTTAATTCGTTACAAGAAAAAATACATTGTGTTTTACTTCGTAATGATAATGTAATATTAATAGTTTCTTTTGAAACATATTTTTGAAAATTCAACTTTTATAAAAATTTATGTGTAATTAAATTAAGGCTAAAATTCATCATTGGTCCTTCAACTTTATCAGTTGTACACGATTTGTTAATGATGAATGTTTTACATTTGAGATAATGAAAAGTCAAATACCAAGTTCTATTCTACACAGAAGGAGTATTATATGTGTAAAATAAATTTCAATTATATACAAAATATAATCTAGAAGAAAAATTTTATCATGTATATCAAATTGTTAAAATGGAGTAAATATTTTCAAAAAATGCAGTACGGATTAGTAGAAGAAGCTAAGAGAGGTGTGTACCTTTCATCATGTGTATCGTCTGTGCCGAAAGTGAGTTCTTCTACTGGTACATAACAAGGCAAATCAAGAATTGGTTTCACAATATCACACGACCCACTATCATCATTTTCATTAGAGAGCTGCGGCATTATTGGAACTTCAGGTGACGATATATGCATATGCTCACGACTATACACTCCCCATGCAACATCATTGTTCCTTATCGAATCGATTTCGCTGTTCTGAAAGACCAGGTATTCTTGTTGATGATGATTATTATGTTGGTGGGTGGGAGGGTATACAACGCTCGTTGGCATCATGTTGGGTGGTTGATCACACCATTCCTCTTTTAATGGGCCAAAAATGTTGTTGTTGTTGTTGACATTGATATTATGATTGTTGTTGTTTTTGGTATTGGCGACTTGGTGTAGGGAACGAAAGTAGGCGATGTGATGGTGGACGAGGTCGAGCTCGGTTTGAGTTTGGTCGATCTGGTGCTGGAGGTGGCGGATGATGGTGTAGCAGCCACCGACAGGGTCGACTGCTCTAACATCGGATTCAAAGATGATGGTGCGCATGGCCTCGTCCTTGTGGAAAGGGCTAAGAGGACGAATGATCTTGGAGATATTGCTGACACCGAACAGCTTGTGGGCGTTTTGGAATTGGTGTTGGCGGTCGTGGGGGAAATAGGGGGCGAGGATGCAATCAGGGGCGCACTTTCTGCGTTGGTGCTTACAAGCCGCGCAGGCCTGGGAGCCGCCACCGCCGGTGCTGTTGTTGTTGTTGTTGTTGGTCCTGGAGGACGAAACGACAAGGTTGTGTCGGCTTGTGTTGTTATTGACCTTATTGGTAATGAGGTTCATGGTATATTATTGTTGTTGTTGTTTTGTGTTTGAAGGTGGTGAGGAGATGGTGGTGGGGAGATTTCAACTGCGTCTCCGATGGGGATGGAAAAAGGGGGGGTGGGGAATTCAGAATTTTCAACACTTTTGCTTCTTCTTCCCTTTTTTTCTCAACCTCATGACATGCATGAACAATATTTCATAATTCTATGCACTTACTCCGTTTTGTTTTGGACAACACCTGAGAAAACAAAATAATTTTATAGTAGTTAATCGTAATTAAGATTTCTAATTTGTTGAAATAACACATTTTTAGATACTTAAAATGTTGGTCTTGCATTTTTTATTAACCTAGACAATTTTCATGCTCTAATGTCCTTTATTCTAAATTGCATCTTCAATTCTAAAATTTTACTATCTTATATCATATTCTCAAAAAACTGGCATTTGGATGAAATATAAATAAGGACACAATTTAGAGCTTGAGAATTGTGTTATATATAGCTATTTAGAAATGCAGGGTATGAAATAAATTTGTTATATCAACTAATTACAAGTACCAATTACGCTCAAAATTTATTTTCAAAAATAAGTAAGGATGTCTTAAACAAGAACATACAAATTAAGGGACCAAAACCAAAACTTGCATATTTTACAGGGGGTTAAAACATTTTTGGGTCATTTATATACTACTATCCAAATATAAAAATTCAATTCACTATCTATATGATAAACTTTGTAAATTGATAAAATGACACTCTGAGCTCGTGAAAAATGATCCAGTTTTTTTTTATCAAACTTTTACGCACTTTGACAAAAAATTAAGTATAATTTAAAGAAATAAATATTATAACATTATGATATATATATATATATATATATATATATATATATATATATATATATATATATATATATATATATATATATATTAAGAAAGTTTTATTAAAGAGGAAGTGCAAGGTACAGAGGGGGTGGCCAACCCCACAATAGGCCAAAAGGAGATCCAAACCAAGAAAAGGAGAACAAGAAAAAGCTGCCAAGTAACTAAACATAAAAGGAGAAGCTGACAAAAAGCTTAAAATAAAAGGGAGGAGCTGGATTTAAAATCGTCCTAGGCAGAAACCCATCCAGCTGTATCCATTTCATCGACCCAACTGCATCCATTGAACATCATGTAGTTCTTTTACCCAAAGATCACAACCAAATTTACTATCCATTCTCCATCCTTTCCAGCATATCAAGGATAAGAGTACAAAAGTTTGAAAACAAAGCTGTCTATGTAAGACCATGCTAGTACAAATGATAAACTATGCTGCTCCAACCCTGAAGCTCAGTCTCTAGACCAGAAGCCTTAGGCACACTCTAAATAGAAGGCCTAATCTTCAATTCAAAACCCTGAAAAAACATTTTTCCAAACCCCTGGAATGGTGCAAGAGTAACCCATCTTCATTTGGCCCTTGAGCTATTAAGACAGCAAACATAAAACAAAACTAATTCAAATACCAAGGGCTTCTTTTTTCCTGAATGCAATGAAAGGAGTTAACCAATTGTAGTTTGTGACTCTTCAGCCTTAATATCAGAGACAGCAACTCCCCTTATTAGAGAAACTAAACCAAAGTTATTGTGAGTCACCTCTGTTATGTGCCATAACAGTATCAGCATCATAGTTTGCATAGGCCAAAAAGATTGGATATTTTGTGCCCTTGATGTGAACTAAATCCACATTTTCCATACTCTTCACTATCTCTCTTGTAATCCTATACGCTGCCCATGTTTCATCCTGAAGGAGACCCTTCTGTAGTAGCTCCAAAAGACCTTTTTGCGCAAGCTTTTCGCGAATATATTCCTCTGTTTCTCTAAAAATCGCCTCAAAGTAGCTCTGAAAGATTGGGGCGAATAGCTTGTCCGCCTTAATGGCCTCCCTGGGTAATTCTTCTTCTTCGGCATCCCCTTCCTTAGGAGAATTTTGAGAGTTAGTCATGGCAGCCCTTGCTATATCTATCCCCAGAAGCCCTGAGGAGATTGAGACAGTTTTTGCTATTTTTTCCTCCCCGAACCTATCTATGAGTTGTTCTTCCCGCCTATCTTGTTCCCTCTGAATTTCCTCTTGCTCAATTCTGCCAGATAATACCTCGTCCAGTTCCTTATCATTGAGGAAACTTTCAAAGAATTTAAGGGCTTTATGAAACAGATGAATGCCTTTGTTCCCCAAACCCGCTGGTATGAAAATCTGAGAGTGAGAACCCTCTTTAGACTGTGATAACCGTATAAACTCGCCATAAGTGTTGGAGTCCCAAAGAACATTTAAAGAGGAATCCCCCTCATACCAGGTTAAGGACCAGCCTTGTCTGTGGCTTCCCAGATTATCAATTAACCATTTACAAGCAGATTTAGAGGCAGAGATGGTCTGAGATATACCTCTTTTTGATTCTGAAATTTGGAGAAGCCCTGCGGAAGAACTGAAATTGAAAGCCTTACTTTCTATGAGAGCTGAGACCCTACCTTGCCCATCAAGATTTGGTCCGTAGTATCGCAGGTTTGAGGCTTCCATTCGATTTGAATCCCACTTTTCGCAGTTCCTGAATCTCCTTGGGATAGTCACTGCCCATCTTTTTGACCATGGTTTATATTCACCGCCGTGGAAAGACGAAAAGTAGGGAATCCTTCTTGGGGAGTAGTTCCACCGTCGATCCCCATCGTATAAATTCCTTCGGAAATTTGAACCCCTACCTTAGTAATTCTGCCGGACAGTGGGGCGTAATTCCGCCGCCAGGATCCCCAACTCCCCTGATATTTCATAGAAAAATAATTTGATCGATCTAAAAGAGTGGATCAACCCAACTCCCTGAACACTCGTGTTCGTGTGATCGATCGATCGAAAAGGATCGATCTACTGAAGACGGACAAAGCCCAAACAAGAGGACCCAGTGTGCGAGTGGGATGTACATTTTCGGAGTTTTGATTTTGTTTAGGACAAGAAATTAAGATGAAGATGGTCCAATAATCAAACAACTCACATGGGATGATGAGTTTAATTCAAATTCAAAAATTTAAATTAAAATATAATTTTTGGTGTAGAAATTGAGTCCCAAAAATATTTTGTGTGTCAAAAGATATACATGAAAAATATTTTAAGTATATTTTTCCTACCACAAAAAATTTGTGTATCCTTAAGAAGTATTTTAAGAAATTTTGACACACTATTTTGAAACTGACTCATTAAATTATTTTTAGACAAAAAAAAATGTTTTTAAACTGACTTAGAAAATAATAATTTTTATCATCCTTACAAAAGATTTCTAGACTCAATAAAAATTAAAAAGTTTTCGGAATCTTCACTTCACTTCAAAAAACTCCGTAGGGATGAGCGTTGATTTTTATCTCCGTAAATTTCTTGATACGCCTCTTTGCTTTTCTCGATACAAAAAATAAATTTTCGATCATTGTTGAATTTAATCATCCTGTTTGTCATATATCAAAACCAAAAATATTCCAGAAAATAATAAAGGGGTTTGAACTCATGTCCAACATGCTCTACCTACCATCAGTGTTATTCTCGATCCCAAGTGCACGCTCCATGTGGAGGAAACGGAGCTGAGGGTGTGGCCTCAGAATATACGGGAGTTCATGCGATGGGAGGAGTCTGACAAGACCATCATCATTGTTTTCTTGAAGTATGACATGAACTACATACGAATAAAATGAAATCATGCTCTAATTATACTAGAGTTTATGGGATATGTGCTCTAATTATTTACTAAAATTTTTTATTATTATTTACTTGTCAAATATATATATATATATATATATATATATATATATATATATATGGATATATGATGGAGCACGACATAACGACTATTGGGTTCTTATGTTCGGAGACCATGGCGTACGTGGTAGAGTATAGAGATCGCGACTATCTACATAGATCCCTCGATTCTTATCAATCGCGACCCTAGATACTTATGTCATTGTATCTTCCGAGCTCATATGTTTTCTAAATTATTTTAAATAAGTATTCGAGTTTTTTATATCTATGATTGATTACGAAGCTAATGGCTAACACTTTTTGAATTGTAGACATCATTGGGTGTTAGTTGTAATACGCATGTTTGAAAACAAAGTGTATTCCTTTAACTCAATCTTCGGGATCGGAGGGCATAAGAAAATGAAAGTGAAGACTTTGGTAAACGTGTAAGTATTAGTATGAGTTATATTAATAATATTGATGAAAGTCTTTATTTGTTACGAACTTTATTCCTTTTTTATTTATTTTTTAAATTTTGAATAAAGGTCTTGGCGGTTACTTTGGGAAAGGAACATGCCTCAACAAGGCTCGACCAGATTGGATTGATGTTCGCGGAGTACCACAACAACCCAAGGGGACAGAGTGTGGACATTATAGTATGCAACTTGTAAGGCTCATCGTTACTTTGTGTGCTCAAATGTCCTTAACGTTACACGATGTAAGTTCGTTTTAGTGCGTTCTTGTAACTAAAGTATTCTTCTTTATTATAGATTATTAAAATTTATTGTTGTATGTTTTTGTTCGTATTGTAGGTGTTTCATTGTACTTCACCGTATATGCTTGCCGAATTGGAGAAGGTTAGAGAGTTTTGGGCAGGGGGTTTTCTTGATGGATTTGTTTAAGTTTTATATGTTTGTATTTAGTTGTATGACTTCTTTTTTAAAATGAATATATAGTTTAGTTATTTAATTGTGGTGCTATAGTTTGTTAAATGTTTTGTTGTTTTGGTTTTGGTGAATATGTTATGAGTCTCTTTTGGTTAGTGTTGTTCTGCTGCAAGTCTGATTTTGCATGTTCTGTTCTGTTCTCTTGGTTTATATGGTGTTTTGTTCTTTGCTGTTGTAAAAAAATTTATTTGAACGGGTTGTTTGGGAACAACCGATTCAAAAACCCTTCCCTAGAACTGGGGCCATTTCTGGGGAAGAGTTTTTGAATCAGTTTTTCCCAAACAACGCGATTCAAAAAGTCCTCCCCAGAAATAGTGCCAGGGAAGGTTTTTTTAAATCGATTATAGAACCGATGAAAAAGTATTTCCACCAATTGCATCGATGTGCAACCGATTTAAAAGGTTAAAAACAACCTATTCAAAAGTCCTTTCTATAGTAGTGGAGGAAGCTTGGAGACTAGCTGGAAACAAGAAACTTTGAAAAGAGAAGTATGACATGCTCCGATGGCTGCTGACATCATTGAAGAGTAGAGAAGTTTAACGTGCGCCGGTGGCTGCTGACATCGTTGGAGAAGAGAGAAGCCTAGCGTGCACTGGTAACTGCTAACGTCTTTGAATAAGAGAGAAAGGGTTGGCGTGCTCTTGTAGCTGCTAACGTCGAAGAAGAACAGAGAAGTCTATTGCCTATTGGAGGTGCCTGTTTGATTAAAGATCGTCGACATTCTTTGTCTTTTTCTTGGATCCGGGCAATGCCCAATTTATTTTCTCAATTGGAAAAATTTGTATGACTTATTTTTAGAGGGGTGAGTTGTAGATGTATTCTTTCCTCTATTTCCCCTTCTGGTTTTGCTTTTATTTGCTTTGAATTTTTATTGGTTTAACAAAAGAGAAAGAGAAGAGAGATTGATGATTACAATGAGTGGTTTGAGAGAGAAAAAAGTGGATTAAGAATTGGTGATGCAGAAAAGATCTGGGTCTGAGATTCTGATATGGTGAATTGGAGAGAAACAACTACCTTGTTTTTCTTAATTTTGAGAAGATAGGAAAATTAGTTGGGAGGGTTTTTTAGGAGTTGCTGATCCAAAAAAATGAAGGAAGAATATCGGCCCGGTGGGCGGCTAATGGCGGCGCTGCCCGCCAAAAGCTAAGCGAGCGCAGAGAATTTTAGGTTACAAGAGCGGTGGCTCTGTAACCATGTTAAAGTATTAGAATAATAGTATTGTTCATTGAATTATGGAGTACATGATAGAGTATATATATAAGAGAGTTCTAACAAAACTAGAAATAAAGAATGTAAACTAACTAAAATACAACATGTACCACAAATAGGAACAAAAAGCTAACTAATAATCAAATATTATAACCAATACTACCATAAGTGATACTTTTATTATTGTCTAACATTAATGTCTTCTTGCTTCGCAGGCTAAGTGGTATTTGTAGTTTTGTACTCTACCTGGTGTTGGTCTCAATGTGGCGAGTTACATTTCTCTTTTCCCTCGATCTATATGATGAGAATCTTATCAATACTCATTTTTGGCAAGTACTCGTAATAATTATAGCGATTTTCGTTTCTTCAGTTTTTAGTCCCATAATTTGGTATATTGATTATTACAAATCTATGAACTTTGACTCTGCTAAACACCTTGAGGTAGTATCCATCTTTAAAATGATCCTTCCGTTTTTACTGTGATGGGTTTGCAATGCACTGATGTAATAGGTGGAGAGATCTAACTATGCCTTTATAGTTCAATTTTCTAATTTCGAATAACATGTTCTTTACTTTCAAAAATTTCTGTTTTTTTAAATTTTAGTTGTACGTAGTGCAAATTTAAATGTTGTATCTAGGTGTCACGTGATTTTTTTACAAAGCCCCACCCCTCATTTGGAAATAGCATGCTATTATTTTCTATGTATCAACACCAACCCTTAGACCTGGCAAATCGGTCGGTCAGGTCGGGTTCGAGTTCGGTCACTTCAAATTCGGGTTATTTCGAGTTCGGGTCAATTCGGGTTCGGGTTGAGAACTGTATGTTCATGACCCAGTGTCATCGGGTTCGGGTCGACCCAACAGGTTATGACTTTGGTTTTTAAAATTTTTAAATTAACATTAACACTAACATTTTCTATTAAATAAATTCAAAGTATCAAAAAAAATGTATTAAATCTATAAATTTATTGTATTCTAAACTCTGAAGTAATTTTTAGATATATAAATCAATATAAGGAATTTAAAAATGCTTAAGTTTTGGAAAAAAAGTAAGATAATTATGCAATATCATTAAAATTTTGTCTGAAAATATAAATTTATACACTAAAAATGAGTAGTAAAGTGTATGATTTTGAAAAATTCTTACTTTAGCGGGTCAGTCAGGTCAGGTTCGGGTTCGGTCAGGTTTGACCCATTTTTAGCGGGTCATTTCGGGTTTGGCAACACTCAATGAACGAACTCATAATACCAGATGAGTTCTATTATATGTGATCTAAGGGTCAGGATTGCATCAAAATTAGGTGCAACAAAATGGTTTGAAAATGCATCACGTTGAAATGCATCATAATTCTTTGAAAATGCACTATTTCAAAATTTAAGCGCAGGATGCAATCTGAGCCGCGCGATGCATCAGATCTAATGGCTAGATTTCATTCTCATTTCTCTCCACAAGGTGAATTCTCACAGGAACCAGCCCATATATATATATATATATATATATATATATATATATATATATATATATATGTATATATATATACAGAAATGAATAAATACGAGTTGAACTAAATTTTTTTATCTGGTATTTAAAGAAATTTTACATTTTTTTATCCGAAAATTAATTTTACACTTTTCCACTCTGTTTTAGAAAAATAGATGCCTTAACATTTGTAATTATATATCTCTTCCAAATAAATTTAAACTATAAATTTTTCAAATGTAAAGAGTATATATTAAATTTCATTTATTGAAAAGAACATATTAAAAAAGTTATATCTCTTCCAAGTAATATTTTTTTAGAAAATTATCCTAATGAACTTAAAATATATAATTTCGAGACAAATTCAATTATTTAAATAAAGTTAATTAAAAAAATTCAATTAAGTAATGAACATATTTTTTAATTTTTGTCAATTTTCAAATTAAAATGATTGTAAAGTATAAACACTTAATGATTAAAAAAAACCATTTGGCTCATATAATGAATAAGATGTTAGTAGTCTTTCTTATGTAAGAGATGTGCAGGAGTAAAAGGAGAATTTGTGTAATGGGACCTAAAAAAATGATGGGGAAGACAAGTGGGAGTAGTTCTTCCCTTACTTTTCCATGTAATGGAGATACTCTAAAGTGAGACGTTGAAAACTACAAGTACCTAGTCTGCCATTTCTATTAACAGAGGCAACCAAACCGACTGGAATTATGGCTAACCCACTTTGATAGTTTTCCTAATAATATCCCATCAAGTATTGCCCCTCCTCCCGTCCACTCCATCATCTTCTTCAATCCTTTCTTCTTCTTTCTTTCTGTCGTTCTGATGACTCCAATCTAGACCTTAGATGATTCTCCGGTATTCCGTCTCTCAACCTCATGCTCTCGCTCTGCATCTTACTCCGGTATTCCGTCTCTCAACCTCGCTACACTGTTCATGCCGATTTTTTAAAGCTGATTCCTCCTGAATTTCTTGATGGTTCTTGATGTTTTTGGGTTCGTTGGAATCGCAATTAAAAAGGGAACAAACTTCAGGGTTCTTTCTTGTTGATTTGTGGCTAGAGCTTGTGAAATTGGAGGTCAAAAGGTATGAGGTCACTGTTCACTTGTAAACCTTGTTCGCTAGACTTCTTCACAAGTGCGGCCATTTTCGATGCTTCTTCTGGAGGAATTGGGAGCGCCTGGTTTATTTAGAATCTAAAGTTGTTTTGCCATTCCATTTAAAGATTTCTTTGATTTAGCCGATATTGGGGTTCACAACGGTGGAGCATACAGCTATGGGGTGGAGGGCATTTTGGGAAATGGGGTGGAGGGCATTTTGAGAAAGTCAACTACATTTACATCTGTTCTTAATATGCGTGCCCGGTCAAACCGGGAAGTTTAATATTGGGCGGAGGGAGTAATTCTTCTTTCTCCACTTGTATATTCAATACTAAGGAGCATAAGAGGGGATTCAGCCATCCTTTTGTACAACTCAGAATATTCCCCAAGTTGTAACACAAACCAGTGTAAACACTCCCTTTAAGCCCCCAAAAGAATAACAATTGTAAAATCAGCTTCTTCGTACATTCCCCCCATTCTTGGAAAAGAATAACAATGCTGTGTATTTACTATATTACGATTGTGAAAGGCTGCATAACCTCACTGGCACACGCATACCGTCGTGGTTGAGTTGAACATCAAGATCTTCGGTCTCCTTGAGTTGCAGAAGAGCCTTGTTTATTTTCTCATGATCCATCAGGTGCATCATACCTGAATCACGATTTTTTTTCATGCATTATGCCTTTACTAAGTGTAGAAAACAATGCTAAAACATATTGTGGGAGTAAATACTTAGAAACAAGAAAATTCTAACATAACAAGACAGTTAAACTATGTTTGGTTCAAGGAATTTGAGAGGAAAAGAAAAAGAAAATGAGAAGGAAAACATTTTTCTTGTTTGGTTAGAGAGGAAAAGAGAAAAAAGTGGAAGGAAAAGAAAATGAGAATATAAAATGAACTAAGAGGAGGGAAAACAAAATTCCTCTCATTTTGGTGAGGAAAATGAGGGAAAACTGTTTTCTTTTCCGAAAAGTGTTAAAATATATTTTACCAAACATAGTGTCAAAATGAGAGGAATTTGTTAAAATATAAACCAATATATTTTACCAGTGAAAAGTGTTCTCGTCGGTTTGATTTTCCGAACTTCCTCAAGAGCCTAGAAAAGTATTAAAACATGAATATTTGGAGAAAAAAATAAACCAATGGTGAAAAACTATCCTGTTTCCAGAGCTAAAAGATGGAGAGAAAGAGGAAGAGGTGAGGTGAAGGATTACCCTTGGTAGTCCAAAATGGGTAGCTGAAGACCTATCTGGCCTCAAAGCATCCTGAAGATAAAACAAATACATTCATGATTCACCACTAACACATACTCCCTCCGTCCCTTATAGTCTTCACGTTTTGACTTTGCACAGAGTTTAACAAAGGTGAAATTGTGTGGCTGAAATTTGTGCAGAGAGAATGAATGTGAAGCATAAAATCTCTTCTTTAAAAGGAAATGGGAAGATTATTTAAGGACAAAGAGTATGTTATTAAGTCTATCAATAATTCAATATGCAAAGCACATATAGCCCAGAGATATCAATCTGTTGCAAGTTTTCAACTTGTACCAAGATAAGCAGTTCACAGTCCTCCAGGAGAGAGTATGTTTCTTGAGGGATTTCACTAACATCACTTAAAAACAAAGAAGAAATTAGTAAGCTGGTCTACAGTGACTACCCATCCCCTGAAAAAAGGGCATTTTAATATGACATGTGTACCTTATGTAACAGAAGTTGCCAAAACGAAACCCCAAAGAACGATAACCAGTTCCATGCCACACCGGTAATGGTATAATCTTAAAGCACATTGGTAAAGCTTGATTGGTTACAAGGAATGCAGATATCAAATAGCAGTCATTTTGTATTAAGCATAAAACTATGTTTGGGTCCCAGAAAATGGGGTAAGGAATAGAAATGCCAAATAAAGGTAAATTTTTATGTTTCGCTTTACCCTGAAACAGTGCACAAGATAAATGAGATATGAATAGTTTTCAAAGATTGTTACATATATTTATAATTCTTGATTTTTATACAATTAATAGGAATAAATAAATTAATAAAACGAGCTTATATTTTAAAACAAAATAAAAAATCAACATACTACATATTAACTTTTCCCTCTGATTTTATTTTCTTGCAAATTTACTCTTTTCCTCCCTAATTTATTTCCCAAGTGTATTCTGAGTCCCAAACAGACTAAAGAATTCTTTGAAAATGAATGGTAGCCCAACGGAAAGATATAACTTCAAGTTCAACCTCCAAAACAATCAGATTTAAAAACGTACATAAAACAGATCTTCATTTCTGATGCTAAATTGATGCAATTTTACAAAATTAAAAAAGGAAATAATAAACTCAAGAACATATAATTTACCTTGAGACCATGGACAATAAATGGGTCCTCACTTATGATGTTAAATTGCAGATCTGAAACAGCAGCACCAGGTATGATACCACTAGTGTCGACCAAATAACAGTGAGTTTTTTTCATCACCTAGCATTATCGTGATATAAACATGTAAATATATAAAAGTCATCTAGGGTAGAACCTTCTTTTAAAGAGTGAAAGAAAGATGGAAACTTGGGTGCCTCTGTGTAATTCCTTAGGTGTTCCTCAAGTAACCAAGGTGTAAAGAAGTTTTTCACCTAAAATGCGATTGATTGGGGTTTACAGCCTTTATCACAAATATTGAACTAGAACCTAATTTATACGGAGTGCAAAAATTCTTGAGACGTGAAAATTAAACATCAATATGTGACTCTTATGCCTCACATATTCATTTGGGGATGAAAAAGATAATCATGTAATCATTTCCCAATGAATATGTGACACCTTAAGAATGTCACATAGTAATGTCAATTTTCCAGGCCTCCCTAGAACTGCCTTTATATGCTACCTGTGGGAACAAACCAAACACAGAGTGACATTAATTGCACAAAACTCATAGTTGTATTTAATTGTCAGTGTTTCTGCAGTTTAACAATGATAAAGAAACGAGTTCCATTGCATAACATTGTGATCGATAGAAACACCTCAAAGTCACGCTCTGCTACATAAATAGGCACACAGGCCTGGACATTATTAGTCCAATCACGAAGATCATCCAGACCTGCAAGAGGTACAAACGTATGTGCAGAAATCAAATTTATCGCATTGAAGTTTAGAACAATAAGTCAAATACCTCCAATTGCATCGGCATGAGAATGAGTTATAACAACTGCATCAATTGTTCTTATCCTGAAAGAGACAAGGAAACAAATTATAATCAACAATGTGATCTACTGATCTCCATCCATATTTTGAAAAAAGGTGCAAATTTCACATCCTTTCAATAGTGCATAGAAACAGCATCTTTAATTTTATATATATATATATATATATATATATATATATATATGGATTGACTCCAATGAGATGACATGCTTCGGTGAGATGACACAAAGCTCACCACATTACACTGCAAAGCTCACCAATGGCCAATGTAAAGCTCACTTGGATATAAATCAAAGCTCACCACTTTGAACACCAAAACTCACCTTTTTTTTTAATTTTGAAAATTAAAAAATTAATAAAAAATAAAATAACAACACCGGTCAACCACCGGTCAGCGGTGGCGGCGCGGCGGAGACCGGCAGCGGCGGTTGGCGGTGGGCGGCGGCGGCAGTTGGCGGAGGCCGGAGGCGGTGGTCGGCGGAGGCCGGCGGCAGCGGAGGTCGCCGGCGGTCGGCGGCAGCGGCAGGGGGGTCGCCGGTGATGGTCGGTCAACGGTCAATGGTCAAAGTCTAGTCAGCAACATGCACTTCCTTTGATTTTTTTTTCAAAAAAAAATTCAAAGTGTTGAAAAAATATGGTGAGCTTTGCCTTACAGTTTGGTGAGCTTTGTAGTTGTCCTTGGTGAGCTTTGCAGTGGACAGTGGTGAGCTTTGCGTCATCTGACCGTAGCATGTCATCTCACCGAAAAGTGTCATCTGACTGGAGTCAATCCCATATATATATATAAAGCTTGCATAATCTTAAAAATCTTAACAATCAAAGATAGAAATTTTGAAAAGATCAGTCTATGGTGGAATGGGATTTTTGGAAGGGGTTTGTTGAGTATGTCGTTATTTTGAATACAATGGTTTACTTTGAGGCCATTCATTATGTAAACTTCATTCAATAGGTGATTGCAAAATCTCACCTAGCTGCATATTGAAGTGTGGGGCAACAGGTGTTAGAGCTGAGTATTAAAAAGAAGTATTTGGTAACAGCCACAATCAAGGTGGAGATTTGTTACAACTTACTATTCTCGTTTACAAGAATTAGGGCAAAGATCCAATGGCATGGAGGATTACCAGAGAGAGATGGAGATGCTCATTGCTTGTCCGGCCATAAGGGAGTCAAGAGAAGCAACGATGGCCTGATTGCTGCATGGGCTTAGGCAGAAATTGCACAGGAAGTAGACAAACAACAATACACAACTTTGGACGACATGGCCTACGTTGTCATCTGAATTGAAAAATACTTCAAGAAAGTGTCTTCTAAATACAACTAGTTAGATGAGGATGCTCACCGTTTCTCACTGTCTACTTATTCTTCAAAATAAAAATTCATCCTGGAAGTCACCGTCTACACTTTGGTGAAATTTTACCACAAAAGAGGGAGATAGAAGAGTTTGATAGTGAAAAAAATATAGAGCTGCAAAGGCACTGAGGGATCCCACAAAAATACATTTGAAACACAGAAACCCTGTGGCCTGCGCAGGAATCCAGTATTTTAAATGTAAGGCGTTGAGACATTTCTTCATGATGTCCCAACAACTGGGCTTTGGTAGTGATAGGTAGATTGTGATGGATAGTGAGGATGAAAGTGAAAAGGAAAATAAAGGGGCCGAGAAGAAAGAAATGATGGAACCTGTTGTTTCACCCATTGTGGTTAGGAGAATTATGAGCCCCGAGGTAAAAGAAAAGGAGTGTGCAGAAACACAATATTTTACTTTGTAGTATAATTATCAACAATGGTAGTTGCATTGATGTTTTCCATCGTCTCTAATGGAGCCAAAGATTTACTATTTTTTGGCTTTGGGGATATGATGGAATAAAGCAAAATCACTCTTTAAAATGTTTGCACTTCTTTCAAGTGAAAAAGCAGTTAGTCAAAGGGCGGGAGCCTTTGAGGCACTGGGTAATGCTGTTGTTGTTGGTAGTTGCAGTGATGCTGCACTGATGTTGTGAGTGCTCGCTTGTGGAGAAAATGGGATTGCCTACTATCAAACATCCAAAACCTTACCCGTTACAATGGTTGAATGATAGCAGAGAATTGCGGGTGACTGGGGTGAGCAAACATATGAACATTTCGGTCTGTACTCGGAGGTACAAAGATGAGATCACTTGTGACATCGAACCTATGCATCCATGCCAAATACTCTTTGGGAGACCATGACATTTGACCCAAAGGTAACTTGAACAGTGTCACTAATTGAGCAATTGTGTCCATGACACTGACGGAGTTCCAATGAGATCATGTGAAAATTTATTTAGTCCAAGCTGGATGCATTTTTTAAAAAATGGAGAAAAATGAAAAGAGCCGGAAATTAAGATGAAGAAAAACTCAAAAATCAAGAAATGAGAAAAAATAATATCATGTTTGAACAAGGAACTTCCTAGCATGTTTCCGGACGAATGACCATCAGGTTTACCACCTGTTCGGAAAATCAAACACCATATCAATTTTGTTCCAGGAGCCACCATTCCAAACTGACCAGCCTATCGGAACAAACCAGAAGAAACAAAAGAAATTTAGCGTCCCCCAAGAATGATGAAACGTGGAGGATGTGAATTAAGTGACGTGCTATGAACAACATCACGATAAGTATCACCATGCTCTTCATTGACTTGATGACAAGTTAGATGGATTACATATTCCTTGTATATTTCCTTAGTTAATTCAATGTGGGGTATACCATCAAATAATATTGAAAGATGGGGACGAGTGGAAAACGGTGTTCAAAACAAATTACTCCCTCTATCCCAAAATAAGACTCCTTGTTTATTTTTCGGACGTCCCAAAAAAAGACTCTTCTTTTTAGTTTTGAAAAACTTTTTTGTGTGTCACCAATCTTTACCACACAATTTTACTTTTCTTAAATTTTGTGCCAAGTTAATATGAGTGGGTAGTGATGCCTTTTAGGATAACTAACACCTAAAAACTTTGTGGAAAATTTGTGGTTGTTTCTTTTGTTGATATTCTTATACACCCTCCGTCCCAAATTAATTGTCTCTTTCTAGTTAAAGAGACTTCACAAAATTTATTTTCAATTAAAGTTATTTAAATAAAGGTACAAAATTTCAAAATAAAATTTATATACGGAGTATTAAAGAATTACATAAAATGTTTTATAAAACACAGACTATGTTATTTTAAGCAAAGGAAGAAGATAAAGTTTGATGTGTGAATAGTAAATTGAGATGATTAATTCGGGACAAGGGAGTATATAGTAACTCTAGACAAAAATCTCACTCATATCGAAAGAGCTCTACTAGTAATATGAAAGCAGACACTATATAGTCTTGAGAAATGCAACTTTTAATACCATTTGGACAAGATAGCACGAAGGTGGATGCAGATAAGTCAAAGTCATTCGTGAGTGGCCACAACCTTTAAATTCCGTCCAAGTGAAAAGTTTTCATGGACTAGCAAGTTTATTCATGAATGATTTTAATACCATTGTCATACATTTGAACGAATTGGTTAATAAGCATATCAATTTTCACTAGAAAACGCATTTAACACATTGAAAGAAAAACTTTACACAGCACCTATTCTTGCACTACCATATTCTTTTGTGAAATTTGAGAGTAAATGTGGCCACGGGGGTATTGGAGTTGTGTTAATCACTTAAGTGAAAAGTTACATACGTACGTACGTACGTACCTACATTACGTAGGTAGGTACGTACACTCAAACAAACAAACAAACAAACAAACATACCTACCTACCTACGTACAAAAGTACCATCCATCCATCCATCCATCCTGTAACACCCCGGCCTCCATTTTGGCCGTAAGCGTTCGCTCATAGAATCGTAGAATGGCCCCACAAACCAACACAAGTCTTTCCCGCACACTTTGTTCTCACTCGTGCAGGCCCAAGGAAACTTCCCAGGGGGCACTCATCCTAGAATAGCTCCATGTCAAGCACGTTTACTTTGGAGTTTCTAGGCAGGGGCGGACCCAGAATATTTTAACCATGGGGCCGCATCTAAAACAATTTATATCCTACTATCACGTTTCTAACATTAAGTAAACAGTACTCCATAATATATAACATTAAAGTTTACATATATTATAGAAATTATAAATTTGGTTTCTTTTTAAAATATTGGTGCCTTTTAAAAATACCTTTGCATCCTATATTGAAATTTAAATAATTAATAACATTATAAACTTAAAAAATAATCTAATTATTTTAACATATTTACAAATCACAATCTTACAAAATAAAATAGCAAATTCAATTCCCTATTCACAATAACAAATTTGTAAGAATAAAATATAATAGAGCAATGCTAGGAGTACACTTTTGTCCCCCACCCCATTCTCCACCACTCAATTTTATTTTATGTTTATTTATTTAATTTATTTTAGTCTCTTGCCTTTTTTTGTGGTTATGGAGGGCGTAAGGGACAAATGGGGTACACCTTTGGTGTACCCCTAACATTTTTCATTATAATATTCACAAATCACAAATATGAAAAGAAATATTTAGTTTAGATTAAATTATGTAAAAAAAACATAGCAAATTAAAGTAGCGAATTATGTCAAAAAAACAGCAAAGCGGAAAAAAGAAGATTGGGTTGGAGTTTGGGAAAAAATTGCCAAGACCAGGGATCAAACCTGAATCGTCCAGGCAAGCATTACTCACTGCTCAAACACGGAGTTTTCCACTCCTTCAGCATGTTCACGTTGTTTCATGTAGCGTTTTGTAAATTATATACTAACTATACATATACACTTAAAAATTAATATATAAAGGTAAAAAAATTTAAAATTTCCGTGGGGTCACTTGACCCCGTATGACTCAACGTGGGTCCGCCCCTGTTTCTAGGTGATGAGCTCTCGAAAAGAAGATGCGTCTTGTTGGTAAGAGTAGTACTATCAATCCTAAAAGTCCGTACGTACGTACGTACGTACGTACGTACATACATACATACATACATACATACATACATACATACATACATACATACATACATACATACATACATACATACATACATACATACATACATACATACATACATACATACATACATACATACATACATACATACATACATACATACATACATACATACATACACACACATACACACACACATACGTACGTACATACGTACATACATACATACATACACACATACACACACACATACGTACGTACATACGTACATACATACATACATACACACATACACACACACATACGTACGTACATACGTACATACATACATACCTACGTACCTACATACCTACGTACGCCCGTATTCACCTACACACCTACACACATACATACATATACTCTGTGTCTCGGTGTTGCTAAATCCACACATTTCACCCCTAAATTCGTTAAATCTGCACCCATTAATATAAGTTTGATATTGGTGTAAATTTAGCAAAGTTGGGTGAAAAGTTTCAATATAGCCAATTAGCCATTTTGGGTGTGGATTTAGCCTCACCCTGTGTGTGTGTACTCTTTGGTTTATAAAAAAAATAAATGAAGAACTTTTAGAGGTAGCTAGTCTCATTCAATCTATTCATAGTAATCAATCATTCTATCTATCAGCAAATTCATCTCATTCAGCTATAGCGGCCAAGTCTCACCCTCAACGAATGGGTCCTAATAAAGTACTAGATGAAGAGCTTACCCATAATGAGGAAACCATCTCAAAGCGCTATGGTAGAAGAACCTGCATTAAGAAAGAAAAAAATATGTTTCATGGAAGATTGAAGCAAACTTGAACATTATTAGTTAGCTATTATCAAACAATGTTGTGTTTCCAAAAGTATTTTTTTCCGAGGGTTAGAGTACCAATCCTTCACATGCTTGCAAAATAATTTTTTGACCAATATTTGTAATCGGATAGAAGGAAACTCTACATACTTGCCAGCATCTATAACAATGTTTGAATGTCCAGAAGATCCAGGGTACCGAATGAGGATGCTTGTGTTATGCCTCCTATTTTTGTTATCAGGTTCAGTAGCTTTTGAGCAAACCTGTAATTGACTATTCAATTCGTATACTAAATGCTCAAATATCAATTGATGAGTTCCAGATAGCATATATTTGCATGAGTATGATGGGCTTTGACTCCTTACTGGGCATGTATCCACAGGGTTAGTGAGGCAGCTAACTCGCGGGATCCCTTCACTAGTGCCTGTTCCCAGGAATATTATTTCAGATTGGTCCCCTGACCTCTCTGCTATGTTTGAAGAACTTACAGAACCTACAATGTGTCAAAAGTTAAGATACATTCATGTAAAAAGGAAAGGAAACATTTTCTACCTGGCCTAAGGGTATGTTTTAATCCCAAAAAATGCCAGGGAAAGGGGGGGAAATGTTAAGTAAATTTATTTCCTTCTGTTTAGTTTTACCTAAATTATTGCCCATTTTGACCAAATACAGGATATAAGAACATGTAACTGTGTGTTTGAGATTTATTTAGAAGAGACTGGAATTATATTAGCTATACATTATTTTGCTTTAGAAGGAAGGTGCAATAATCTATGGAAAGATATAATAGGAAAGTGTGATGATAAATTAGGAACAGATGGAGTGAAGAAATAAAATGAATTTGAACAACAACCAGCTATAATTCTACAAGTCGAGTGTGGGGAGGGTAAGTGTACAAAGACCGTATCCCTAGGGAGTAGAGAGGATGTTTCCAGTGTTTGAAGCAGAGTTTTTTATCACCCCCCC